ATATGATAAAACCGGTTTTAATATGATAAAACCGGTTTTAATATGATAAAACCGGTTTTAACATATTAAAAATAAAACCGGTTCCAAACTCTATATATAGCATAAAAAATTCAAAACTTCGTTTATTATTGGTAAAATACTTTTGCGTATGTTAATCATAAACAAACAAATGCCTGTATGTGACAAATAATATATACTATATATATTTGGAAATATGCATATGGATATATATATAACATATATATACATATATGTTTTCTATAAATTTACTGCTTCGTTCCGCATACGTAACAAAATTTTTATTTAAATTTTTAAATAAACTGCGACTTTATTTTTTTTTCTTGGAGTATATTTTTTTTCATTCCTTGAGGTTTTTTTTTCTTTATTTGCTTTGCAAAATTTTTTGTATATTTTGTATTTGATATTTTTTTTCAAAACAATTTATTTTGTACATTAAAATTTATGTATATTAAAAAAAAAAAAAAAATTTTTTTTTCTAGTTAATTTTTTAAAAAAGTACGTATGTGCCAGATTTTTTTAATTATGAATAAAACTTGTTCTATCATCATTGTCAATATAAACTAAAATGTTTCTTGTTTCTCGTTTCTCCACACACAGGAAAAAACCGGTTTAAAAACCTTTGATCCCAACTAAAAAAAAAAAAAAAAATTTACTTCCCAAAAATGGGCAACGAGAATTTTTTTCGACTTGTTCAGCATTATCAAGAGCAACTTCCTTCTGATGTTCAAGAATATATTATGCAAACGTATAATTATGGTCAAGAAAGTTTTAGACGTCACCATGTATCTGTTTGGGAATCTTCTACAAGATTCGAATTGACTTTAATGATTCTAGCTATTGCACTATGGTGCTTTGTGATATCTCTATCTGTTTTGGGTTATTTCGTTGCGTAAGCCTTAGTTAATTCATTTAAATTTTTTCCATTTTTTTTTAATCTTTATTATATTAAATTCTGTTTTTAATTCTTAATAGACGTACAAGATTTAGATCCTCTAAAAAATCACTTTCCTCACAATTACCCGCTGATAAAGCACCAGGTGTATCTATAATAAGACCACTTAAAGGTGTAGATTGTAATTTATTCGAGAATCTATCTTCATCATTTCGACAAAATTATCCAAAATTTGAAATTATCTTTTCGGTGGCGAGTGAAAATGATCCTGCTATAGCTGTAGTACAAAAATTGATGAAGAAATTTCCAAAAGCTGATGCAAGGCTAATTATAGGTTTGTTAATACATATTTAACGTTATGTATATTTGAATGTGTTAATAGAAACCAGGCCTACCGAAAAATCAATTTCAATTAATTTTTATCATACGTCATACAATTAAAATCAATTGAATTCAATTTTTTGTGTAAAGCGATGTCTGATGTAATCCGATTTTTAAACAGCGAAAAATCGCTGTGATTAATGGCAATCCAATTACGTAAAATTGCAATTAATTGACCAATTATGACTGCGCCATCAATCAATTAATTGAGTTCGAAATATTGCAATTAATTGCCCCCACAATCAATTATTCGGTAGGCCTGTTAGAAACCATGCAAATTTTTTTAAACTTGACTGAATTTGATAATTTTTTTTAAAGTAATTTTATAAGTTTATATATAAAATTTTATTTAAAAAAAAAAGTTTTTTTAATCAAATTTATTCAAGCGCTTGATACCTTTATATATATATAGTTTGCTTAAAAAAAAACAATTTTTTTTAAAATTTACCTTAAAAAATTTGCTTGATTTACCCCCAACACGTCAATACACATACATTGCACTTACAATACACATACAATACACATACAATATACATACAATACACTACGATACACATACGATACACATATAATACATATTCATTTATTTATATATATTCTTAATAGGTGATCGAAATGTTGGTGTTAACCCAAAGATAAATAACATAATTCGTGCATATGAATCCGTTAAATATGATATAATTTGGATTTTGGATTCAAATGTTTATGTTGATCCTGGATGTCTTGGAAGATCCGTGGATAAATTATGTCGGCCAAATGTTGGTTTGGTCCATCATCTTCCATTCGCTGTTCGGCCTGATACCTTTGGTTCTGAATTAGAAATGATATTTATAGACACTATTCATGCTAAAATGTATTTAGCTATTAATGCTATGGGACCTGATAGTTGTGTTGTAGGTAAATCGAATTTATATCGAAAGAGTGATATTGAAGATGTTGGTGGTTTGGCACAATTTGGTAAATATATGGCAGAAGATAATTTAATAGCTAGTGCTATTTGGAGAAAAGGATTCAAACATGAAATGACTTGTGATTTGGCTTATCAACCACTTGGTTCAATGACTATTTCTGATTATTTCTTACGTCGATCTCGTTGGACTCGTATTAGAAAATATACAGTTACTGCAGCTACTTTAGTCGAACCTTTCATAGAATCTATATTATGTGGTCTTTGTGCTTCTTATGGCTTTAATCTTTTATGGCATATTCATCCGTTAAATTTCTTGGCTTTTCACCTTGTTTTATGGTTTTGGATTGATCTCAAGTTATTTCAAATTTTAAGTCAAAAGAAAGTTGATATGGAAACTTTAAGAGGTTTCATTATGGCTTGGGCTATACGTGAAATTACAGCATTACCTCTTTATATTTATTCAATGGGTGGAACCACAGTAGATTGGCGGGAAGGTACTTATCGATTAATGCGAGATTCTACTGTGGTAAAAATATCATCATCAAATCGACAACATCAAGCCAGTGGCAGCATTTCATCATCACCACCTTCTTCAAATAATCAAAGAACACTTTTTTTTCAATTCATAGTATCAATTCTTACATCAGTCATGTTAGTTATTAATTTCTTTATAGACATATTATTCTCTAGTCAACGTAATGGTAATCCTATAGAGACCACTGAAGTTGAAGATTTAAAGGATTCAGAAAAAAGAAAAGACTCGTATAAGTAGACTTCGTTCTATGAGAGAAACTGATAGGGTATCGATCACATGATTTAGAACTATTGACGATCCTTGCTATCCTTGCTATCATCATCTCAATTATCATCTCAATCATCATGTATAATCATGTTCAACCATGTAAAATCATGTTTAGTAATATTCAGTCACGCCACGATGTCATACGATATTTTACGGTGTCTTTCGATTGAATACCGTTACTAATGCATAATCATGTATT